AACCTACCCCCCACCCCCTGGTCAGTGATAATTTGTCGGGGAATTTCTTTTATTAAAAGATAATAAAATTTTGTGTTAATTATGTGATTCTTTCGCAATAGAATACAACACCTCGCACATACGGTAGCACTGCTCGCACTAAACAGTTTTTAATCCCAACCATTTTGACAGCTTATTAAGGCATGCAACAGGGGAGTCTAAGTGGGGGGGGGTCCATTATGTGGGGGGTCCACTAAGTGAGGGAGTCCAGAGGTTCCTGACGGGGGATCCCTTTCCCCCTGGATCCCCGCTCACAAAATAAGGTGATATCATGGTGATATGATGTGATTTTTTTTTTCACTTTTAAGGGGATGTTTCCCTTGTCCTCTTCTATATATGCCACTGTATTTGACTGAAGAAGGTTTTAGCGTAAAAGTGTTAATGTGTACAGTTCTATACCTCATGCAGGCAACTGCTCAGCTGAGAGTGTCGCATTTAATACCCATCAGCCATTACAATAGGCCGCTGTCAAAGGTAGCTCAGGGTATCCTTCAAAACAGCCCAAGAGGTAAGTATAATATTAAAAGTAAAGGTAGTCCTGTATTCATTAGTTGAAATTAGGGGTAATGAACTGTTAGCCTTTTGCTCTAAGCCTGGGCATTGTGTGGTAGAATGGCCAGTTCTTTCCAAGCCGCCTTTTTAATCCCCAATTAGTGAGTACTCATTTATCCTCCTGGGTGGAGAGAGACAAACATAATTAAAGTGTCTTGTCCAAGAACACTGCGAAACGCAGTGAAGGTTCAAACCCCCGACCTTGACGTTGAGAGACCGAAACACAAACACTGAGCTAACTGCTCCCACAGAATATAATACTACTATGGCTTTACCTTGTCATTCGGATCCGCCTTTCTTGCTTCAATTACCTTTTCCGTAACATCCATAAAAAAGTCAATAGCAGTCTGATCCATTATACGAAAACCAAGGTATTCAAAAACCTTGTAAAGTCTGGGAGATATTGCTATCATATAATACAAAATAGACAAACACTAAGTTTAAAACACCACTCAACATATTGAGCAAATAGTCAAGTCACTATTGAAACGTTTTTTTAATATTACTGAATCTTCTACATGCTGTATTTGAAATGTTATCAACTGTTTCCAGCAATTTAATATTATTTAAACATGGATAGTTGATCACTCAATCAAGTATGGTGAGGATTATGATAATTTTATTATTATCAACATGAGGAACATCATAGTTGTCCAAAGTTGGAATTCCCTTCCAGGAGATCTGGTAAAGTGAGGTTTCCATTTAATTATACTTTGGTGCGCATGTTGACACCATCTCACTTCCGTCAGAAAACCAGTGGCGTATCTAGAGTCTTGAAATTGGGGAGCTGATGGGGTGCGAAGGTGAAGTTGTGAAGGGGAGCTCTATGATCAGTTGAAGGGGCGCTAAGTCGCAAAATAAGGTGATTTTAGGCGATTTTTAAATGCTTGACCGTGATTTCTTGTGGGGGGGGGAGAGTAATTTTTGGGGAGTGCCCCCTCCCCGCACCCCCTAGATACACCACTGCAGACAACTGATAATAAACTAGTAAAAATAAATTTGCAGGAGATGGGTTATTTTCCGGGATATTCTTACTTGCTTGCGGGAGACCGTCCTGATTTCTGGGAGACTCTATGAACTTGCAAGCGTCTTGCGAACCCTGACATCAACTAAAAGCTAAACCAGTATTTGAATGAAATATAAAAGAATATTTTACTTAAGATGATCATTAGCCATTTCTTCCCCTGTCTCAGCATAATCTCAATGTATTTGAAGAAAGCATTATCAGGATTTTCTTGCGAGTTAACATCCAGACCAAAATTGGTGGCTGCAACAACGTCTAACATCAGAGCATTGTATAGCCTAAAATATCAAAGAGATATTAACATAATGTTAAGTAAAGTTAAATAATTAATTAGAATTGGGCCCCGGTGACATGTGATTGGCATTGACAAGACTTGGTCAATATACCAGAACTCAACTCCTTGCCTTAATTTGATAATTGATAGTAACTAACAAAATGGTTAGGAACATCTCACCAGCGGATTTTAGTAATGAATTGAACCTTTTTTGTGAAGGAGGTAAATTTATGTTTTCTCAACAAATCTTATTCATAATGAATCATACAAAACAAATTGGAAGTAATATTCAAAATTAATACATTTAATTTACATATTATTAGAAATAAGAGTTAATTACATTTTAACATTGATGGTGGCCTTATCCTCAGATGCAGTACAAAGTTTCTTGATCAGTGCTCTACAAGCTCCATTTAGCAATGGGACCATCTAAAATACACAAAGTATGTATCATAATAAATTATTATTATTTAAATATAATATTAAAATATAATATATAAATTTGTAAATTGAAATGAGTAGAAGAATGCTTTTATATTTCTTTATCAACTTAATATATATATATA